CTTTTTGTCGAAAATTCTGGGTGTTCCCCAAGAGGCCCACCGCGCGGCGAAGGAAGAGACGAAGACGCGGCAAGGGACGAGACGCAGCGCGCACTAACGAGACGTAGCGATTAGGCGTCAGGTTAAATAGTGTGTACCATTCCACGTCTCACATCGTCCCTTGCCGCATATGCGTCTCTTTTTTCGCCGCGCGGTGGGCCTCTTGGGGGACACCCAGAATTTTCGACAAAAAGTGGGAGCAAATGTTGACCCTGACATGCAACATTCCGGAACGCACTTGACGCGCTATTTCTTCACTGCGATTGGATTCGGATTTACCTTGGACAGCTGACAAATCCTAGGTTTTCACGCGACTGGCTCACATATCGCCAATGTCATAGGCCAAGGCAAATTCAAATCTCTCCAATTTTGGGTGGAACTTATACATGTGGCGCATTTCAGAAGGGATTGCTAAAAGCCGAATGCATCATTTTTTCACAACCCTTCACACTTGAAGCAAAAACCCCAGGTGAGGTCGACTGGAACAGTAATCTTGTGGGTAGGGTACATGAGCAACTGTACAAGATATCTCGCGCATGCTCCCGTGACGGATCAGACATCGCGGTTAATTCGCATACGCGCGGGTTAGTGAGGTGATGGAGCAAGCAAGTTCGAAAACTGGTCCAGGCACGCCTCTCTCTCATCGCTAAGGGGAGGATAATGATCACTGTAAAAAGCTCTGTCATCTTCAGGGTTTTTTTCACTTTCAGCTGACTCAACATCCACATTTTATCATCGACCGCGGCTGCCCTGCGGATTTTATACGGGGCTTTTAAACTCACCTAGTGTCATATGGTATACAAGTGAGCGCTACTTCCTTATTGTCCTCCAAATTGTAGGAGGTGATACGAGTGCAGGCAACGCCAGAGCATTCTTCACAACTCGCTTCTTTTTCACAGTCTGAGCCTTCGAGACACATCAGACACACTGAAATAAATAACGAAATCAGCAGGAAATCGAACTAAAATTCAACAAAATAAAGATGTAGACCCTGAAATCCCCGAACTTGTTGCGAAACTGGTATCATTTTGAAATTTGCGGTTTTAAGGCCGTTACAACAGAGCGGAGCTTCAAGTAAGAAATGTAAATATTTCTGAGAAAAGTCTTCAAACTTCATTGAAGCATTTCGAGATAATGGGAGTAAAATTCTTGAAGACCTTGGGCGTAAATAATTTTTTGATGGACTATAAATTCATCATCAGATCAAATAAATTCATCATCAGATCAACCTAAACGCAAAGGTCACGGTCGAATCTGTGCTGCTCTGTTCGATTATTAGAGACGAAAATTTGGATAAGCGTTGGTGGACAAAAAAGCGTCATAAAGAGGTCAACAGCGCTACCAGGCGACTGAGATGAGCATGTCGTACACGCAGAGCACAGATACCACGTGTACTGGATTTGGCAAGGATGGCAGCGGTGGCAGCGGTCAATCGTGGGCATGCGCTCTCTCGAAACGCAATTTGGAATCGTGACAGTATTACCACCGCCGTGATTAGGGGTCCTGCTACTTCACCAAAAGAGGGAATCTCGGAAGATCTAATCGCAACACGTGCTCTTGAAGCACATTTTGCATATTTTCTCCAACCCTCTCCCCGCGATATTTCCGTAAAAATTGCAGCATACATTCGTACACTTGTCACGACTGATCACGACCTGCAGGGTCCCTGATATTTGCTGCTCAAAACAGAAAGATTTAAAGGTTTTAGTAACTTCAAAAAATTCGGTTTTATTGTTCGAGTATTTTAGATCAATTATAGGTACAAACGTTTGCTTATAAGTTGCTTGAGCGGTGGTCGGTGGCAGTCACAGAGTTAGTATGCTAGAAACAATGTTCAGGCTTCCCAACCGATCATCATTTGCAGGATTGGAAAGTTATCAGAATAGGCCATCGTCTAGGAATTTTCTGCCGTGGCACGCCTTGGTGCCATGCCGTCCCACGCGACCGAATTGGTGTGGTCCGCCGGTGAGCCACATGGTCGTTTATAAAAGTCTAGTGCAGAGAACGTGACACGACACTGACACGTTTGCTTCCTGCTTCCATACATGAAATTGAATTCTCAAAAACGCACAAAAAATTGTCGAAATCGCCCTTTACCTGTGCAGAATTTTCCTACGAAACCTACCAATCTTATTTGAAGTTCGAATCCAAATCACTGACTTTGAAAGCTATACAGTATTACCAAGTATTATTTCCTGTCACTGCCAGCAAATGGAAAGAATGGCTTCAAATACTAATGTCCTAATGAATAGCGAATGTAAGTATGCCATATTCACTGAGTCAAAAGCGCTATTATTTGAAGATGCGGAAAGGCCATCGCCACTGATTTGCTGCCTTTCCCATGGCTTGACGGCAATGTCGTCTAGACTATCGTCTTGAAGTTGAGCGAGGACTTATCTACTACCGATCGCGCCAAAGATGGCTGTAAAGGTTAGAATGAAGATTCGTGAGCACCTCAATTTTGGCTTTCTTCACTGGCTGCGTCGGTTCCTATTTTAACCCTACGTTTCAGAAGAAATTCGAGTGTTCCTAATAAAGTTCTCTACTCATTTCGACATCAGTTACTCACGTATTGATTCATATCTCTGTATTTCTACCACTGAACTTCGTTAATCTTCATTGATATGCCTTTCCTATAAATTCCCTCGTCCCCAAGAACTTCCCTTTTCCCCAAAAGACATTTCTGGTTGATGACTGTATCTGCAGAAGAGGACGCCGCGCAATGAATCTCCCTGGGGAGAGCGTCCGAGGTAGACGCCGCTTAATTGCCACCACAAGATCATGTCTTTTCTAGTGTTCCACTAATACCTTAGGAGACGACGTCCAATCATTCATTACAGCCACCAGACGTAATGAGATGTGT